TTGTTAAAAGACAATTATCATTTATGATAATATCGAAGATATCACGATCGGCCTAATTTTATGTGATGTGTCTGTACATTCGTAGATTATCTACCACCCATTATATTAGATTAATAACTTTGTTTCTCTATTGTTTTTTTTTTTATCGAACCATTCTGCGCAGCCAATATCCAATGGAATTGTTATCTCCAGAAAACGTGTGTTTCTCCTTCACAACCGGATTTAGATACAACTGGTGAAATGAAATACCTTATTGAATTTATTAATTCACTTATGCATATGCATATGCACGTGCATTTCTGTCAATTAACGCCAATTAACCAATATCGATATGGTAGACTCGGGTAACTGGCTATTAAATTATATTTGAAACAATAGCAATAGATGTTATGTGTACCATAAATGGTTGAAAAACATAGGTTGTATTGATATCTTGATCTAATCTTAATCTAATCATAAACATTATTTTTTTAAATACTTTTACTGGATTGGCATAGGTTATAAAATATTATACGTACAGTATTATTATTATTATTATTATTATTATTACGTATTACTATTTTATCATTATCGTTATCATTATTATTATTAAAAATTTATACGTTCAGGATGTATTGATTACTCTTGCCATCGATTATTCTTGGTCTGTGTCCTGAGATCTTCAAGTATTCAAAATTGTTTATTTGCATGGCAGGCATTCCAACCAAGGTTAAGCCGCCCCAGTTATTGCGGTTATCCTTATTGGATATGGCGCCTTTTGCCGTTTTTTTATTTGTCGTTTATTTATGTAAATTCGTACCTCCTATTTAGCATAATCTTACATTGCTGTACTTGATCAACGCAAGACAATCAATTTCAAATTTTTCATTCGGATTATTTTTATACGGATTTTTTTTTTTTTTTTTTTTTTTGAAAGGTGTGTTTTGTCCGAGGTCGTACGCACGTACCCACATTGTTCATTATAACGGACAATAGAGTTTAAAAATGATTACACCTTTTTTGGATCAATCGTATTAATAGACTTAAAATACCTTTAGACTATATCTTTAATGATTTAATGTGATATGTATAATTAGTATCATTTTGATAATTTGATTGTTGTATTTGATTCGTTTTTTTTTTTTATTCAAATTTATTCAATGTTTTTATTTTATTTTACATATCAGTTTAGTTTATTTTATATTAGATTATTTATATTATATGATTATATGAATTATATATGAATTATATGATTTTTTGTATATAATACCCATTGATGATGAAAAAAATCGGTGCTCTTTTTGCGACAAATCTCCCCTCGAATTATATATATATATATATATATAGCTCCACATATAAACTCTTCAAGATCTTGGATCATTAATCAGAGAAAAAAGAGGAGAAAAAGAATGACCACTTACCAATCGATCGAAGAAGGATTACCTCGTAATCATCCTAATGGCTCTGGAAGTGATGACGATAAAATTGGGTTGCTAAGTAATGTTAAACGTCGTAGACAATTTTTAAATTTTTTTAAAATTGCTATTGGAGTGGTTTGCATCGGTACTATTTTATGGTTCTCTTGGACTTGGTTCCAAGGACCTGATGGTACGTTCTTACATACACATAATATATATACGTTATTTTTAGTATCTTTCTTTTTAGTATCGATATAACTAATTTCAATTTGAATCATATAGAAATTGAAAATGATTTTGAATGGGCTGATCCAAATCTAATAATCGCAAAAACCGGTGCTGTCGCTTCTGAGGTCGTTAATTGCTCTCGATTTGGTGTTGATGGTAATTTATCATTATCAATTTCATTTATTTCTTTATTATATTTATATAAACCTAAGAGATTTATAAATTTGTTATTTAGTTTTAAAGGAAGGTGGAAATGCTGTTGACGCCGCAATCACCACTCACATATGTGTCGGTACTGTTAATGTTTTTGCTGCTGGTATTGGAGGGTACGTTATTATTGTTGTTATTATTGTTATTATTATTGTTAATATTATTGTTATTATTATTATTGCCGTCTTTTTGTATTTTATGATTCTCTTGAGTGACCAAAATTCTCTTTTATCGCGTGTTAATTATAATAGAGGTGGTTTCATGTTAGTTAGATTACCAAATGGATTCGCGGAAGTCATAGATTTTCGTGAAGTTGCTCCTCGTGCTGCTCATCAGGATATGTTTAAAAAGGACCATTTAAAAGCAAAAGTTGGTCCCCTTTCTATTGCTGTGCCGTAAGTGTTATAAATATATGAATTTATATAATCTATAATTATAATTATTATTATATCTATAATTATATCTATAATTATATTTATAATTAAAATTATAATTATAATTATAATTGTAGTTACTGTCATTATGATTAAATTATATCTTTTTTTTTTCTCTCAGTGGTGAACTTCGTGGATTGAAATTGGCTCATGAACGGTACTTATCAATACGACTTGTTATTATTTAAGACTATAAATTATATATAAAACTATATCTATACAATCTATACAATCTATACAATCTATACAATTCTTTTAACATTATTAATTTTATAATGTTTAGACATGGTAAACTTCCTTGGAAACGTCTCCTTGAACCTTCAATTAGAATTGCTCGAGAAGGATTCCCTATCCCACTTGAATTATATGTTACTATGAAGGTACGTACCTTTAATTTTACAATTGTTGTTAAGATGTACATACATACGTGTACACGCGTCTTACGAATAAATTTTTGTCTTTACATTAATAAAAGATGTATTTATACAAAATTGAACACAACAAAGAATTATGCGACATCTTTTGTGATGAGAATGGCAAGCTAAAAAAACTAGGCGATATTATGTATCGAACTAATTATTCTAAATCATTGGAAAAAGTTTCCGAGGATATCAATGAATTTTATGAGGTATATATTATATATTATATATTATATATATATTATTATGTTATCTTGTTTCATTGTATTTATTAATCTTTTAATTTTTTATAATTAAAGGGTTCAATCGCAAGATCAACTGTCGATACAATCCAAAGTAGAGGTGGCATAATAACCATGGAAGATTTGGCTGCCTATAGACCTACTATTCGTGAACCTCTTATAGGATATTATCAAGGACGAAAGGTTTGCCATCACATTAATATAATAAAGAAAAAGACTTTTCATAGATTAGTTATTTAATATTTTTTGAACTTTATAAAAAATAGATCATAACATCTCCTGAACCTGGTAGTGGAACAATATTATTATTCTTGTTAAATGTTTTGGAAGAATACAAATTCCACGAAACTGGTCGTACAAGTTTAAATGCTCAAAGAATGGCCGAAGCATTCAAATGTATGCAAGATTTATTTTATACTTTATATATTATACACATAATATTAATAATTTCTACCCTATTTCTCTTTTTCACAATCACTATGAAATTTAGACGCCATTGCTAGACGTACCGAATTGGGTGATCCTGCATTCGTAAGTATTCATTAATTTATATTCATTAATTTATATTCATTAATTTATATTCATTTAATTTGTATTCATTAATTTGTATGTGTTCATTAATTATGAATTATTCAAAATTTATATATTTCTTATTGTTTTAAAAATAGTTCAAAAATATTACTGCTCACAAAGAACGTATAAATGAAATAATTTCCAAAGAATATGCTGCAAGGATTCGTGCCAATATTTCTGATGTAGGTTTACTTAATTTCATATATAAGTTAAAAAAATCATTTACGTACATTATGTTTAACTTGCCGTTTTAAACTTTTAATTTTAGACACATACATATGTACCAAATCACTATGATCCAGAGTATGCTACACTTGAAGATCATGGCACAACTCATATTTCAGTCGTAGATGCTGATGAGATGGCCGTTAGCATGACTGCTACTGTATGTTTATTTGAATATATATATATATATATATATATATTTATATTTATATGCAATATCAAATAAACTCAAACTTCAATCAAACTAATTTAACTAATTAAATCTTAAAAAAATAGCTTAATCATTTCTGGGGGTCACAAGTTATGGATCCAAATACTGGAGTCTTGTTTAATGATCAAATGGACGATTTCGCAATTCCTATACCACCAACAATTGAAAGATTCTGGCCTGCTCCTCATAATTTTCCTGGTAAGTTTTATGTTACCCATTTTTAAATACTTAAAAATGAAAATTATTTTCGTTTAGTAAAAAAAATTATTTAAAATTATTTAAAAAAAAATTTTTATAAAATTTTAAAATAAATTTTAATATAAATTTGTTTATTATAATGATATATTAAATAGCACCAGGTAAAAAACCAATGTCTTCAACATCACCTACAATAATTGAAAGACCCGATGGGAGATTTGAAATGTCTGTTGGTGCTAGTGGTGGCACCAGAATTATGTCAGCTGTTACACAGGTATTACCATTATTTATCCGTACTTTCTTATATAAGCAAAGATTTTAACAATGTATGTATGTAATCTTTTTTTTCCATAGACATTATTAAATATTTATGAATTTAATATGAACGTTCTGGAAGCTATTGATTACCCAAGGTTGTACCACCCACTATTGCCAAATGAGGTAAATAATAACAAACTTTCATAGCGATAGAATTTTTTTTTCAACGTAATAATTTTCAAGAACGTTGTGATTAAATTTTATCATGAATTTATAGTTGTTTGTTGAATCAGGATTTCCATTCGAGATATTAGAACGTCTTATTAAAATTGGGCACGTTGTGAGTATATAACTTACATTCCTTTTACACTTTTGAATTTCTAATAATAAATTAATATTAACAACAATTTCTTTATTTTTTTTTAATAGGTTAAAATACACAGTATCTATAATAGAGGTTATGGATGTCAAGTTCAGTGTGTTAGAAAATTCGAAAATGGAACTATTCATGGTATGTGTAGAATTTAATATATTGGAATGACATTATTACAAAAAAATTAAATTTTTTTTTTTATTCATAATCAATTCTTTTTATTTACGTATAGCTGCAAGTGATTTCAGAAAGAATGGAATAGCCGCTGGATATTAATTTAGATTATTTAATCTTTTAAAATTATACATATATATAACAACACTTGTCAAGTTTATCGACTTGGATTGAAATTTTTAATTTTATTTATTTAGTTACTATACTGTACGTAACCATGAATCTTAAAAAGTTTGATGAAACAAATTTCTTGAAAATAAGTTTAATTGATTGAAAGTAGATTCTTTTTTTAAAAAACAACAAAAAAGACATTCATGAAAAAAAAAATAATTAATCGAAAAAATTTTATTTGTATTTAGAGTTTTCATTTTTTTATGCATCTTTTTATTAGCAAAATCAACAAAAAAAACACGCTCACAAATGTATAAGACTTTTAGTTAGGTTTATAATTTTTAACGTAAATAAATTTTTTAAATATTACATAATAATTATATGACGGTATAATTTGTGTTGATTGGTTATTTTATTTAAAATCAAAGTAAGATGCAAAAATAAACCTAATATGGATGGGTGAAACAAGACCGATGATTTTTCTGCGGTGGTTAAAGCTAAATTCTGCATAAGGGAGGGGGGTATTATGACGCAGGTGGGTATTATGATGCACTCACGTTTTTTGACAATATCTCGTGATACATTGAACAGAATTGAGTAATTTTGGTATCATTCGATTCCTCTTACCGAGACGAATCGAATGATATTAAATTTATTTTATTTGAAGCGCTAGTATTCGAGTAACAACCAAAAAACATAAATTTACTAAGATTTTTGGTACCGACCCATAAAAATCTGATCCGACCTGACTAATAAAGTTAGAATGTACATACTGGTGTAATTATTATGTACATACATACCATACAAAATGAAGTAATGAATGTTTAATTTCTTATTGAAAGTCGGGTATCAAGAAGACGAAAAATTCTACTATACACACTAAGTTCCTCATTTCCATGCGAATAATGACAGTTGTTATAAAATGTTTTAAAACTAGAACTAAATTCTTCTATTGTAAAAAACAATTTAGCAAATTTATATAATTCAAAACCTTTAATTGTAAATCGATATTTATTTTCTTGATCAAAAACATTGCCCGCAGCTTCACTAAATCTTTTGTACATTAATAGAATATATTCCATCTTTGCTAGATCTTTGAAATAATAGACAACTTCTTCAAAAAAATAATAAAATCTTTAATTTGAGTATAGTTCCTAATATGAGCACAATGATCATCAATTGAACTGATAATTACATCCGTAATGATGTGTTTTAAATAATATTGTACAGTTCTTTTTAATCGTTCATAAAGAAACGGAAGCATATAGTACATACGTTCTTTTAAGTCAGCTGTGTTATAAATGTTTTTTATTAAATCATTTGCAAGGTTTAAAATCAGATTATTTAAATCTTCACCTTGCAAATCAAAATGATATGGCATATTCAATGTTTTAACTTTTTTTATGTTGAAATAAGCATGAAACTTATTTTATTTATAATCAAGGAGTACCTTTGTTTGATTACAAATTTAGTTAAAATAATTTATTAACTATAGACTTATTTTATATTCACAAACTACCAAATTTAGTTAACATGAGCTTGACCAAGATTGTAATTATAAACAATGATCACAATTGTATGTAAATATGATTGTGATTGCATACAATCATGATTACAATTGCAATTATGACCACAATCGTGATTGCATACAAAAATAACTGTACAAAAATAACTGGTCATGATTGCAGACAATCGCGATCACAATCATGATTGTATACAAATATAATCACGATTGTGGTTTTAAATAATGAACTATAGACCTATAAGCAAATTAAAAATATAAATTAATATAAGTTCGCAATTAAAAAAAAAAAACAAAAAAAAAAATAAACAAAAATGTCCAATTCCCCTAAAACCATAACCAAAAATCCAATTAATTTAAAAAATAAAAAAATTATTATTACACATAAAAATGCCATAAAATCAGCTCTTAAAGTACTTAATGAACCTAACCCACCTAGTATACAAGCAGCTGTATCGAAATTCGGTCTTGCAGAGGCAACTCTAAGATGTGTGTTTAAAAAAAATAATATACCTGACCATCTCAGCCCTGCAACAGTTTTGAGTAGCCATGAAGAAGAACAATTGGTTGGTTATTGTATAAATATGCAAAGATTAGGATTTGGCCTTACAAAGTCTGGAGTAAACCACTACGTAATAAGTATTGTAAATAGTGATGGTCATAATTACCCTTTCAATGACCATGGACCTGGTAAGGCTTGGTAGAAATGTTTTATAAAAGACCACCCTAAATTTTTTTTTTGAGTGCCTTAAGCCTTGTCGGAGGCATGTGCGCAAAAAGCCAATCCAACAATTATTAAAGATTATTTTGATAAATTAAATAAGATTATTCAAGTAAACTTACTTACACCAGATCGTATTTGAAATATAGACAAAACCGGCTTTGTTATAGTTCCCAAGGTTCAAAAAGTTATTGCCACCAAAGGCTCTCACCAAATTCATAAGATTGCATATAGTAACTCATACAATCACATTTCTGTAGCACTGATGATTTCGGCTGCTAGCGATTATATCCCTCCATTAATTATATTCAAAGGCATTCATGCGATTCCTGGTTTGTTAAATGGCACTCTATTCGGTATAGTTATGGGTTATAGTAACTTGGGATATATGATTGAAGAACTCTTCCAAATGTATATTGAACACTTCATAAGTTCTATTCCTCTTCGTCGTCCTGTCTTTTTAATACTGAATGGTCATAGCAGCTATATAAATTATATGAGCATTAATTTTTGTTATGAAAATGGCATTTTGTTATATGTGCTTCCACCCTATACCACCCTTATTCTTCAGCCATCTGAACTACTTTTTGCAAAACTCAAAACTGAATATAGTAAAAACTGCGATCAACTTCATTATGTAACTGGCGAGTTGGTGACTAAGCACACGTTTGCTAAAATGCTTGGTCTCATGTTTATTAAAACTTACATCCTGGCAACAATAGCTAACACTTTCAAAGCTACAGAAATTTGGCCCTTTAATTCTAATGCCATTAGCCCCCATCGTCTTGATCCATCTTTATCTACTGAAAAAATTGATATTTTACTATCATTCTCTCAACAAACCGATTATTCTTCTACACTATCTTCTTCAACACTATCTTCTTCGACACTGTCTTCTTTGACACTGTCTTTTTCAACACCATCTTCTTCAATACTGTCTTCTTTAACATTGTCTTCTTCAACACCATTTTCTTCAACACTGTTTTTTTTAACACCGTCTTCTTATTCAATTTTTTCTTCAACACCATTTTTTACGATACCGTCTTCTTCTTCAATATCTTCTTTTTCAATATCTTCTTCAATGTCTTCTTCTTTAATGTCTTCTTTATCATCTTCAAGCTATTCTATACACACTAGTATTACCAAAGAGAATGAATTATTAGAAGCAGAAATCTATACCCTAAGAAGAGAAAATATGCTACTAAAAGAAGAACTTGAAACATTTAAAAATTCTGATATCTGCACATTAAAACTAGCTCTTAAATATCCTACTTTTCGAGTTTCAACACAGACAAATGAATCAGTGTCCAATCAGCTAAAGAAAAGAAAAAACTTCACTTTCGCCCAGCTATTTACTAATGAAGAATCTCTACAAATATTAAAAGAAATGGATGAGTTAGCAAAGAACAAAGCAAAAAGTACAAAACGAAGAAAAGAGAAGGCAGCTCAAAAACGAGCTGACCGGAAAGCTGAAAAAAAAAAAAAAAAAAAAGAAAATGAACAAAAAAAAGAAAAACGGTTAAGTAAAAAAAGAAAAAATGATTATGTGTAATTATGCTACGAATACTTAACTTTTTTTTTTTCAGCATATCCTGCTACTGTTTTATTAAGATGATAACTAAGTAAAATTACAAGAATTTAACTATAGGTTTGGGTCCTATAGCTTAGCGGTTAAGCTGCCAAACTCCCACAAACTAGGTCGATGGTTCAAGTTGGGCTGGAGGCAAAATTTTAGGATTTTTAGCTTCTGTAACCCAATAGGGGGCCATAATTGAATGTGAAGCCCTGTGGTTAAGTCCAAATGCAAGTATGAAACCGAAAAAGGAAATTCTCGGAAGAAGGTTCAATCGTGGAGTGGTGGCACTACGTATGACAGGTCATGGAAGGTTCTGTTATACAAAGATTGCGCATGTTAGTTCTCGATTAGGGTTGACCGGGGCAGTACCAACATCCCCAGCAGTTAGAGTACTTGATTGGGAGAGTAACATGACAGTAACAAAACTGAAGTAGTGAGAAAAGTGGTGAACACGAGGATGACTTGTGGTAAAGGATTGGTCCATTCAGAGTTCGGAAGCACCTCTGGCCCCAAGCCACTTGGCCTATTAAGAAAGAAACCTGTGAAGACAGAGTGAAAAGGCTAAAACTCGGGTACGTAGTAAAAACTCGAAATGGCTGGATTCACCGGGCTAGTAGTACAATTGTACAAATCAGGCTTGTATACTAGAAATTGATAAGGAATACCAAATACTGAAATTAGAAGTGTTACGGACCGCAAGCCGCAACTAGATCTAAACCTCTAGAGCTCT